GAACCAGGAGCTGGGACCATCCTCTCACCCTCCCCAGCTCCAGCCCTGGTGATGGGATGTAACTGTGCCCAAAGTGGAGCAGGGACCACAGAGCTTCTGATAAGGGATGGGGCAATGACAGGACATCCCCATAGGGCCCCAGTGGACCAAAGGGAAGGCAGGTGGGATGCGACACAGCAGAGTCACCTCATGCAGGAGAGGGCTTACAGGGCACTGGGTTGTGCCACTGTCACAGTAACAGCCCAGTGGGACCAGCCGCTGACCAGCTCCAGTTGAAAGGAAACCCAAATGACAGTCTGGCTAAATCCTGGTACCAACGTTTCTAGGAATTATGCGGCACTGCCACCCATGGACCAGCTCACCAGGGGACAGCTTAGTCACACTTGTCACTAAAAGCCAAAGCCAATGCTTTCTTAACAAAGCAGCTTCTGCCCAGAAAAGCTACATGTAGGCCTGGGGTAATGGTTGGACTTAATAACGATGATCTTAATGGTCTTTTCCAACCTAGTTGATTCTATGAGTCTTCTTCAAGAAAACACTGCCTGCATCAAGGTAAAGCCAAGATTTTCATCAGAGGTGACTGCAACTCTGAGTGTGACCATCCAGCCAATTCCTTACCCACTGAGTGCTCCATCCATCAAATCCATGTCTCCCCAGTTTAGAGACAGGCATGTCATGCAGGACAGCGCCAAATGCTTTGCACAATTGTAGCTGATTATTTGAACCCCTTTGCCTCATTCCAAGCCAGTAGCATTTGAGCCCTCACAGAGCACCCTACTTTGCCCTTTCAACATGCTGGGTACCAGGCAGAGTTAACACACTCTGTGCTCCTGCCCCAAGCTACTTCCTCCTGGCCTGGCAAAGCCTCAGGTGGGAGCAGCTTCACTTGACAAATAACTACAGAAAATTGTTGGGTTTCACAGCAGCTGGGCTGCTGCATGTGGGAAAGGGAGTACAGCTGCCTGCCAGGAAAGCTGACTTCGGTGGCAGGAGCACAGACACAGGAATAGGCTCCAAGAGGCCAGGAACTGCCATTGCACAGCCCTCCATTGGGGATTGGAATTGGATGAGCTTTAGGGTCCCTTCCAACCCAAACCATTCTGTGATTCTATGATACTATTCTATAACACAAGCATCTTTTCAGGCCACAAAAGGTAAAGCAATATGAAAGAAAACACGAAGCTTTGCAGCATGCAGGAGCCCATCGTAGAAGCTGATGAAGCCTTAAGCTGCTTTTAACATCAGTTTTAAGGTTGACAGATGGAGGCAAGGGAAATAAAACCTACCCAGTTCTCCGCTTTAGCCTCCAGTGGATTTGAAGCCACATTGCTTATTTTAAGTGAGGCTTTTAATGCTGACCCTATTGTTGGCCACCTGCTCTTCATCTCCATGCTTTCTGCAGAAGCCATTAACATCCTTAACAAAACAGCCCTCTCAGGTGCTCCACTGGGAAAGCATCCAGCACAAACAAGGATCCTCATCCAAAAATGAGCTGCAACTCTCCACAGCATAGGTGGGACACTGGAAACATGCTACTTTGAAATGCATATGGCTGCAGCCCTACTATGACCAGGTCAGATGAGCGATTAAAGACCCAGCCTGGACTGGGGCTGAACTGGGCTTTCCCAGCTCCATCCAGCCCTGCCAGGGTCCTGAGTCCCTGCACAAGTCCATGAGCAATTCTCACCCAGCTGCAGGTACCCAAATATCCCAAAAAGAGGCCATCACCAACATAAGGTTTCTTTTCAAGCCACAGTGAAACCAAGCAGCCCACCTTCTGCTGAGACTAGCTGAGTTAGACAAACCATCTGGATTTTAAGTACTTTATTCTCTTAGCCCCCTGAAGCATATTACAGTTGTGGGGCAATATGGTACAGATCCTGGTTGGAAGCATCTCGCAGCTTTCTCCTTCCCCACCACCCAGACTCCTAATAAAACAACACACACATAGCTAGTGGGGTGTAGAAAGAGGGGTCTTGTGTCCATCTCCACAGGATTAACAGGCATGGCTGAGCCCTCAAAGCACAAGCTGTGGCTCTTGGCCCTCAGTACTGCTGGGGGTTTTCCTTCCACCTTCTATTTCCTAAATATCAGTTAGTTTGGGATGACAAACTGATTCAGGTGCATTCACAGGAAGTGCAACTGTAAAGCCACAGATTGCTGAAAGGGTTTTGCTCTGAGTGATCTCAGAGAAGAGCATCAAGTCTCCATCTGCTTTTCCCAAACAACTGGTGCATTAAATTTTCACATAGAGCAACTATTGATGTACAAAGTGGCACCCAGACATCATGCCCAGGCATCAGTTTGCTAAACTGATTATTTACCACTGAGGCTTGGCTTGATTTGGGTGCATCACAGTGCGGCCATGGTACCAGCAGCCAGTCTCCCCCCTACACACAGGCCCCTGGCACCTCCCAGCTTCCTCCAGGAGTTCAGACATTCCAGGTGAGATGTGGCAATCAACATTATAATTCTGCATTGCATCATCTCCCCCTTCCAGGTAATCAGTTTTGAGGGAAGGCAGCAAAATCCAATTTTTTTTTTTTAAATGAGAAAGTTCATGGTTCATCTGCTCAGTTCTTAAGAAGGTTAAGAGCAGGTTTTTAAAAGAAAAATAATAATAAAAAAATCAAGTTAAAATTCCACATAAGTCACCTCCATTTCAGTATTTTTTGACATAGGTACAGCAACATGCAGCACTAACTCATGAGGAGCAAGCCAAGCCCTGCAAAGCATGGACCTCTGCTAAAGAGCCAAGAGCTTCCAGGATGCATGGCTGCTCCTAGGTTGTGTGCTCTTAGGCCTAAGAAGCAACACTTCCACCAGGAAATTTGTGTGTGAGGAAGATGAGCTACAGTAATCATCACAGTGTTGCTGCAGCAAGCAGCTGGCCTGACCCTGAAACCACTTCTTCAACACCAGAAGCAGCAGCAAAGCTGTTCAGGCACTGTTGCACCACAGAAGCATGTGTTCTGCTTCAGGTGGGCAGTTTGCAGGGCTCAGCTATAGGGCATGACACACTCTTCCTTCAGGAATTGATTCTATTTCCTGCCTTTCCCAGCAGAAGGTGCTTCAGCTACTGGAGAAGCAGCTAAAGTCAAAGCCAAGTGGTTTTGGAGCAGCCTCCAGTGCAGGATCATTAGTGTGGTTCCTCACAGCTGAGCTCTTTTCTGGACATGGTTCACGATAATAATACACAGTCTCAGCAGGAGCAGCCACAGTAAATTGGTGCTGCTGGGAATCCTGGGAACAGCTTTGGGACCTGGCCCTCCTGGGATCACCTGAGACACCTCAGCTCCCACAAGTCCTTCCTACTTTGAAACACCAGCAACAGAACTAAAGCAGCAGCTAAATTCAAATTACTATGAAATAAAGCAATCTAAGAAAGGGAGGTGAACGTATTTAAGTACAATAAGCAATTTCCCCTTAGACTGTCTTTAAGAGGCTTCCAGAGCAAAACACAGGAGTTCAGTGACCTGGGAACCTCTACCTGTAATGAACCATTTCCCATTTTTTCTTCATCACGACGCATTACACTACAAAATCACAGAATCAAAACTGCAGCTGAGAAAAATAATTAACACCCCCAACAGCAGGCTGCCCTTTAGCAGAAACAAAGTGTAAATACAATCTAGCTGATTCAACTGCAGCAGCATTAGCTTCATTTGACTGTATTTAAATAAAAATAAAGCATAAAAAAAAAATTCCCAACAGGCACTAAAATACCTTCCCTGCCTACAGCACGTACCAGCAGAGCCTCACGTGCACAACACTCAGCAGCCTCCCCACCCTTCCCTGGGCCCACTGTTGGATGTTGCAGTTTATGGATGTTGCAGAACATGAGAAGCCATTTCCACAAAGGAGCTTAACCAGAATATTCAGCAGAATCAGCTCCCAGACAGCATCCAAGTTGCTGGGTTCAAGCCTGCAGCCCCAAGTTCCAGGGTGTTCCCAGTGAGATGACAGATGAGGAGGGAGCCAGTGCCTGATCACTGCAAGCCAGGAACAGACTCATCTCCCTCCTGCTGCAGCCTCCCCCTCAGGATGGGCAGTCTTTGCTCTGAGTTCAGTTCAGCCTTTACAGCTTCTTCAGGCGACTGTACAGTTCCCTTTTGCTCTTCTCGCCAGCCCAGGTTCGGCTTTTGGTGCGGAACCTTTTCAAGTCTTCTTTAAAGTCCTCATGGTGCATGGGGCGATAGCTCTGGGGCTCACAGAAACTCTGGAGAAAGAGAAGCTGTTTTCACTTTGGTTGTCTCACAGGAGTGATGGTTTTGTTGAGGCCCACTGACAGAGCCTGCCAGCAACTGTTCCAACAACTACCAGCAGATTAAACAGAACAAGATCCCCTGGCTCTATGCAGGAACTTCATACCAGACCCTCATGAACAAAGCCAAGTGATATTCAGACTACAGCTACTCCAGAGGGTGTAACAGCTATTACATGAAGGACTTCTGGCCCTGTGTACAGAGCTCTCACCCCAAATTTTCTGGTAGATATCAATACATAACTAAGGCTATCTAGCATTCACCTTGGAATAGCTAAGATTTGAAGGAACGCTTCTATCAGGAACCAGCCAGCGCCCTGGCGCACACAAGAGCTGCCATCGGCTGTTCCATGCTGCCACCTTGAGGCCCTTAGTCCTTCCACCTCGGGAGGGGACACCTACAGGCCCCAAAACCAAACCAAGGTGCAATCACTGCCATGGGGGAATCATGAGGTCACAGGGAGAGCCAAAAAACAGGGGAGCACTCCCTTCCATGAACAGCAGCATCCCAAAGGCTGGAAAAGCCAACATGCCACTGGGAAACAGCACCCTGCATCTCCCTGAAGACGCACCAGGTCACAGAACAGGAAGGTAATCTAAGAGCTACTCTACAGTGCAGGTGTCCAAAAGGAACTAGAGCAACTGTCAGGCCACAACCTTGTTAGTCTCAGAAGCACAGAAAGGAATAACTGAAGAACGAGATTACATCCACTGAAATGTCAAGGCAGCAGAAGCCAAAGGACAAAGGATACAACAAGCACCATCCCCACAATGCTGCTGTAAGAGCTGCTGGGCATTTTTTAGCTTCCTTTTCTGAGTTAGAGGCTGAAAACTCAAAGGTCGAGTTTTCTGACTTTGCTGTTTCAGACTTCAGGATTGTTATCAGCAATTACTGTCAAGGCTGCCTTCTCTCCCAGTCCTAGCAGGCTGAGCAGGCTGAAATTTCTCCTCCAAATGTCATTTTGAACTCCTGGTTGTTATGAAAGGGTAGAAACTAGTTTTACATTGTCTTGAGACAAGTGGAAAAACCTTTCAGCTATGGCAGCAAGACAGCTCTGGAGCGTGGAACAGGCTTCAAGAGCCTCACTACCAAATTTTAGTTACTCTCAGTATGGGAGACCATGGTGAAACAGAGGAGGAAAAGCAACCCCAGCAAAAAAATGTTTTAGTCCAGAAGAAGACTTATTGAGTACAAATACATCAGTGTTATTTACCTATTGTTTCTTCCCTGAGTGTGAAAGATATGCATTTAAGTGAACATTACTTACACGGCATCTTAAGAAGAAGTCCCTGTAACCCCCTTTAAGGATGTACAGTTCTGGGTAATGGAGGTTGGGGTATTCATTACCCAGCCTGTCCCGTTCTCTCACAAACCGGCACCTGTATCAGGGAAAAGTCCTGTGTTAAATCTTGAACTCAACAAACATCAGAGGAAAACAGCTCTCACCCAAAACTTCCCATTCCTGGGATTACAGAAGTAAGCCACTGCTGCAGCTCACTTGTTTTTTGGTTCCACCTCTTGTGCCAGCACAATTCCAACATGCTCTTTCCCACCATGGGCTGACCTCCCAACCAGAGCTGACAACCAACATCTGTGCATGCCAGCACAGTAACTGGTGCCACCCCAAAAGCTTTGCTGCCAGCTAGCACAGTAGTAAGTTCCCATCTAGGGGAATGCGACATAACTCACATCCGAGGACCCCGCTCCGAAGAAAACTCGCAGTGGAACACTATTATCACTCGTTTGTTATCCGATGGCTTGATTGGCTTCTTAAGCAAATAGTCTTCCACATCCTCTTCCATATGTAGGTTCACCGCACCCTGTAATGCCCAAGCACGTGGAGTGAGTGAAGGATAGTAAAACCCATCCCACTTCCTTGCAAGCAATTTCCTCATCTTAATTTCCCAGAGGGGCTCTGGCAGCCCTCTCCAGCATTGGGAAGACAGCATCAAACCCCAAGCAGAACATTACAGGTAGTCTGTAACACACCCACATGGCCTTGGATGCTCCTGAGTGAAGAGCAGCCCCCCATGGTGCCAAGTGACCCCAGTTTGCAACTTCAGACAACTCTACATTGCTCTTACAGGGCCAACATACCTTGATGTGTCCTCCTTCATATTCATATGGGTATCTACAGTCTATTATCACACATTCCTTGATGAAGTTTGCAAACTTCCCAGTCAGCACAGACACAATCTGAAAAAAAAAAAAAAAAAAAAAAAAAAAAAAAAAAAAAAAAAAGAGAACTCAACAAAAATCCCCAGAGTTCAGTTGTTTCAAGATGTTCTTGTCTTGTTCCCACCAGTAAAGATTTTTTCTTACTATCCCTGGAGCACATACCATTTCTGAGTCGATATATTTTAAATCTTGATGTTTCCCATCAACAGTGTGGAATAAATAACCCTGTAAGACAGACAGCATTTAAATGAGAAAATTCCAAATGTAAGCAATAGCACAGTGTCCAGCAGTAATATTTCGTAACAGATACTTCGAGGACAAGAGCCTCTTCAGCAAAGCATGAGAGTTAAAACTAAAAATTGTAAAATTCAGGGGCAGAATTTTAGTTTTGGCAACTGAATGAGTTTTGTAGATCTTTTAGAATAACCACAAGTGAATTTCTTGGTGGCTAAGCTATGAAAGCACCCTTCTAGCCAACATACTTTCCTGCTAACTGGAATATGCACCATTAAAGAAGGGACTCGCTTTATTTGGGCTGGTTTGAGACATCTTCACTAAGAGAGGCCATTCAAATGCTTGAATAAACACTCGACCATTAAATCCTTACCTTTGAGAAGTCACCAATAAGGTCTGTCTGGTCAGTGTCCAAAATGTTTTCGATCTCTGCTGTGGAGGATTGTGTCTTCACCATTTTCAGATTCTAGAAGGAGGTGGGTTAGAGATCAACACTGAGCACTGACGACAGAGAGGTCCTTTTCCCACAACATAATGCAAAACTCAGTTTACCCCGAAGCCCTGAGCTACAACTCCACAGCATCCCCTTTGGATTAAGGTTAAACTCAGACTCAAGAGTATGCAACTGCTGCACCAGCTCCCCCAAATCTCCTCAAAATGAAGAGAAAATGCAGGTTTGCTAGGTTAGCAATTCACCTGAAAAAGCTCTCTCATTAAACTCCACCACCTAGACACCTATGTTAGATCCCCTCCTAATCAATTCTCTGTTACAAAACTGGATGCCAAGCCACCAACCATTGTGTCCTCAGAAGTTGTTCCAGTCAGGCTTTTCCTCTTCTTGCTTTTCCCTGGAGAATTCTCTTCCTGGGATCTCTCCATTCTTTTCTGGGTGGTTCTTCCTACATCACTAGGCAGAGATGAAGAGCCAAACAGCCGACATCGTTTGGCCTATAAGGAAGGAGAATTTAAGAGTTGTCTAACAAAAACTGAGCTTAGAAAATAAGCAAGTCTCAGATTTTCAGATCATTACAAGTTTTTGCCTTATTGAAGACACTGCCACTGCACAGCAACAGTGGGATGTTAACAGGGTCATCTACATTCAGGACCTGCATTTCCAGTAACACTCATTTCTTGCCCTGCAGGCTGAGTGAGCTTGGAGCATCAGAAGTGTTAGCAGAGTGCTTTATACCAATTAACAGACAAGCTATCAGCAGATTAAGGAACTTTTTGCTGGAATTTAAACTCCCTTCACAGTCTGTTGTCAGAATATCTGGCTACAGGGATTTCAGGAAAGTCTGTGCAGGATGCATTTGAGATGTGTCAATAAGTAACTGATAAGGGAAGTCAAGATCATCTTGCATTTATGAAGTGGCTTTGGAAAAAGAAAGTTAATGTGTATGTATGCACACAGTGAGCATTGTTCCACACTGACAGTCTTTCAGCTAAACAGTCTTTAGAGATAACAGAATACTGAAGGGGATTTATGCCATATCTTATTTTGTTGTTTTTAGGGATGGAGGACCAGAGCCAGTGTGATCACTTGTCCCAGCAGCGAAAACAGCTGCAAGAACAAAGTCCCTGTGTCTGTTCTGTTATACTCCCACAGAACACTCACCCGATTGTCTGTTCTCCTCATGACTAGTGGTGCAGTCCAGAGGCTTGCCACATCAGATGGCATCTCCTCATCATTCTGAGGAAAAAAAAGAAAATTCTTTCTCATCTATTCCACTGTGGGCAGAGACTAAACGCAGTTTCTGCACAGCTTGGGCCAGCATTCCAGTTGAATTCATGTTAGAGATACGTTTTAGGAATTTAACTCAATCACTAGTCCAATATTCAATGAAATAATGGAACCTAGCTGAGATATGTTGGAGAAGGTAAGTTACATCAATCCATTGATTAACAATGATGTTCCTCCAAAACTTTAAGCACTTCAAATTCAGTTAGAAAGTCTTCTGCTTAAGTGGCTCAAAAGCAAATCTTACCTCTAGCTCTTTCAGCAAGTTTCTAAAGAAAAATGCTGACTGTTCCAATAATTCCCTCTAGTAATGCAATTCCCATCAGACAATATGAAGACGAGAAATTCTTTAACTTCTGTTCACACCCCAAGTAAATCCCACTGTCTGCACTAGGAAAGAGCACGTATAAGATAGAGACACTGAAACTGAATTGGAAAAAAGGTGGTGATAACTCACATGCTAGGATTCCCTAGTACCTAGCTTTTTGCAGTATGACTTTCCACACTGACTTCTGCTAGAACATGTGCACCACAGACATATTGTGGCAGACTACTAACATTGGACAGAGCAAGTTTCAAAATGCCCATATTTCCTTTGTACATACCTTCAAATCTTGGTCATCTAACAGCTCCAGGAATCCATCATCATCTTCACTTTCAGAGGAAGTCAGAGAAGACTTCTGCAGGAAAACTGGCCCGTAATGTTCCTGTTCACCCTTGGGTGTTTCACCCATGGGAAACTGAGACAAGACAGTTAGTTTTAACAACACTCCTTCTCCTTACCGCAGGGAGCTGTAACCACAGAGACAGTGCCTTGCCTCTTGCTGCTCTACAGTAAACATGGCGTGTTTTCCCCCACCTTGAATACACTGACATAAAGCAAAGCCCAGACTGAGTTCCAATACTTCTATTTGATCCCTACAATAGCAGAGTGCTATTTATTAGACTCATTAAGCAATAACCCTCATCTGTGGAAGACACCTTCCAGAGAAGGTGCAATGGAGAGAAATGGTTGGCATCAGTGGGAACAGGAGGTAATATAAACTCTGCAGTTGATAAGCACAAAATCAAGAGTACTAAGCAGGACAAAGGACCTGATTCAAGGAGCAGAGGCAAGACTTAGCCCCCCGGCATTGTTTCTAATGCAACGACCCACCATGGTTTTTCAGTTGCTTCCTGGATGTCATATCTGGAAATAAAATCCAGTCACATCTACACAGTTGTTCTAAATGCATCTGCCTCAATTTAGTTATTTATTTTATTGATAGTGAAAACAATTACAAACTAAATTCCTCTATTCCACATCAACATCCACACTGCCTTAACTTACTGCAGCATAACCCCAGCTCTGTACTGACTAATCTTTCAGACTACAGAACAATCCACGTTTTAAACTCCTGGCCATCTCACAAGCCAAAGGTGAGAAGTTCTCTTATCTGGCAAACGAGTTCTTCGATTTGGCACGTTAGTGGTAACTAACAGTGCTGCCTTAGAACATGATGCAATTTTTCTTCTTCCCAATTTTTCTTCCCTTTCTGCACACCTCCAGGGTTCTGCATAATCTCCAGGTATGCAGAAGATTAGGTGAGAATTAGTTGTAAAGAACACTGTAGTACTTACTATCTGAGCTGGAGATGAATTCTGCCTTGGTCCAGGAACACCCTTTCCACCACGGGAATGGACATGCACAGAACAACGAGAAGCTGGTTTGGTTGGCTTCTTAAACTCAAACGGTTCCTGAGGTAAAAAGGAGCAAAGTGGTCATTTTACCAAAATTACAAACTGTGTAAGCCTCCAAGGTTATTTTATCTTTTTAGGGTTTTTTTAATGCTACCTGACATTGTGGTTTTAAGTTCCCTGCCAACAGGAATAGTCTGAAGGCAAAAGTTTTCAAATTAAAGATGTTAGAATAGCAATTCATTTAATATAATTAAGCTTTTATCGTCTTTTCTATTTCTTTTGTCAGCCAACTTCTCTGCAAAAGGAATAATTTTTAAATTCTGCTGACACCCGATCTTCTGTCAAGACCTGTCAGAGTCCTACCAACGGGATTTCCAGCAGCAAAGCCTTCCAGACAAAGAAGGCAAAAGGACATTGGTGCTGTGAAGAACCAAGGTTTCCCATGCCAGTAGTGGAAAGAGATGAGGTGATCTATCAAAACAGCTTTCTAGAGGCACCTCTCATAGCAACCTAAAGCGAGCGGCATGAATACATTTTCCCTTGCCACAGCCTAAAAGGAGTCAAGCTCAGCAGCACAGAAGCAGAGCTGGGCAACCAAAGTCTTCCAGATTTTTTTTTATGAACATATAATCAGTTTGCAGTCACTATGATTAGTGCTGTTGCACTTCACTGCAAGCTCCCAAGATAAGCTATGCAAAAATTTGTCATGGCTGAACTACAGCCTGGCAGAAGGGAAAAGAAGCCTTCTCCACCACATCCACTGTTGAAGGGGTGTGCTAATCCAGCTCCCTTGGTACCACCTCTTATGCCTATCACTGCAGCAACGGAACGCAACACTTACATTCTCCTTGTTTTCATCTTGTTCCAACAGCTGAAAAGCATCACCATCCAGGGAATCAGAATGGTTTCTCTTCAGAGCAGGACTGGATCCCAGAAGGCTTTGCTACAACATACATACAAAAGCACCAGTTCAGTATTGCGCAATATAGTCTTTGCACAACTGCATTTAAAGCAAAACAGTGGCTAATAAAGACTGTAAAGTCTCCAACTAGAAATCTGTGCAACCTATGTGCAGGAGTCTGTTATGCGACATTTTGGTACAGATACCAAAATGCTTCAGCAGCAGTAGTGACAGAGCCACATCACTGATATTTCATGCTAACTTAAATGAGGTGTTGAGTTTACAAGCTGTAATTCTGACAGTTTTCATTAACTGCCACAGTAGCTGTTCTTGAAGCCAGAAAGTTAACAAGTTATGGAATGTATCCACTTAATATGCTAAATCCTTTAACATTTATAGAATACCAATACCAATCTCACTTACTGGCAGTGAATGGATTCTTCTGAAAGGCATTCGAATGCTACAATGAAAAAAAAAAAAATAAATATAT